TAGCATGCTGTCATTTCACTATGCTGGCTACTACAGCGTCACATGGTACACACCGAGCATAATCCCCTATCTACTGCATTCCGCTCTGGGACACTTTTGAAGTCAAGGACACTTTTGAAGTCTTAACACACGCCCCCCTCTCCCGTCACTTTCGATTTTTTTCGGCATTACGAGTGTTGCCGAAATGGCGCCACCAACGGGACCATAAAGCAGGAGATTGCTAGCTGACAAGATTGTTAACCATTTTCCATACGCAAGCGTTTAGTAAACGAGCATAAAGTACAGTTCTCGCGAAAGCTTTGGCCTTAGTGGCATCATTGTCGCCTACGCATGGCTTCATTGTCGCCCCAGCATCGCATCATAGTGGCATCAGCTTCGCGTCATTGAAAATTGAAGCTGTGCTCGCCTCGCTTATTTTGTGGCATCATCGTGGCCTCAGGTTCGCAGTCTCATGGCATCAACATGGCATCAGCTTCAAAGTATTGTGACATGAGTATGACCTCATTATTTGTACACAGTAAAGGAAAACACATGTAAAGAAGTTCGATATATAATCGATTTGAAATTCAAGGCGGTAAGGGGAATAAAATAATACTTATGATCAAGAGTAAAATGACATTTTACTAAAAAGATATCTTGTTGAATTATTTTAGTGTTACGAGTTTTGGGCACCAACAACTTTGTGAAGTAAATTACAATCGGCAAGGTGACGAGTGTCGTATTGGCTGCAAGGAAAATTGTGATAAATTTAAATCACACGATGCAATCGTCGTTCGGATACAATAAAATTTGCTATATACGAAATGAAACTGTTCTTGTTATAAAATTACCTTTTTTTCACTCATTTTATTTGCTGGTAAGAGAACCGATCCCATGCCCGGACTACTAATACATGCAAAACACACGTACGCTGCCTGGTGCGTCGGCGTTGTAGCCAGTCATCTTGATACAAAGTTCCAAAACAAGTGCGTACATTCCCACCTATGATTGGATGGTTGTGATGGCGTCGGTCTTTGGTAAAATTTGACATCCAATTTTCAAAATTAAGTCACGATCAGCATGGACGTATTTGGTGACCAG